TTTCATTCTGAGAATGAAACTTTCCGTTCTTTTTTCCTTGTGAGTAGCTATAGTTTGTATTCCTTTGGATATTGTTTGATTGGTTGAGATATGATCGAACCTAGATATGTGATTCATTTCTACATATATATCGTCTCTGGATATATAATAAACGCTCCATCGACGGTCACAGTGGGACGGAAAGCCTACTTTAACTTTATTGTCCAAGATCCGGAAGTTGTAGACGGTGACAGCCGCTATTTCTTCCATATTACTCCGAGGGAAACAAATGGGTTAGCTTCCCAAATCAATTTCAACAACCCACTCTACTCCAGTACAAGGGATAAACAGCTAAACGGGACAGTTCCTTTCACCGTCAACAGTACTGGGCAAGTTCACGTATTTTCAATAATTTTGAAACACCACTCACCTGTAAAGTTCCTGCAGAATGTATTTTATACAAGCTTGGGAGAAGTGAGTCTTATTGCCATTTTCGAATAATTTCGATTAGTAATTGTTCACATAGGAAGGCTTTGCAGGGGCAAAGCGACACAATAAATGTCACCACATCTTTACCATCGCAGCCCGACCCGAAGAATCCTACTCTCCGCATCGTAATTCCAGTTCTTCTAAGCGTCATCATTATCATCTGTTGCATCGTGATATTCATCCTTTGGAGGAGGTTACAGGCTGCTGTTTCCCATGTTGCCTCGTCCACTATCGACTTTAGAAGATCACGAATGCTGCAAGACCAATATAGCAAAGAGTTCATGTACGAACGCGACATGGCTTATGGTTCGACCGTCATAGCTCCGTCGATAACGGTTGGACCATCAGATTCCATATCACAAGTGAGCGGCAGTATACGGAGATTCAAACCCGCGCTTCCTGGTTATCAGGGGAGATACGGAGGTGTTGGTAGAGATCGAACGCAATCGTGGGTAGAATCAGAGGTCGAGACGGAGATGGAAAAGGGCGAGGTCATTGGGCTAGACTATTCTCATTCTGTTCCGGTGGTCAGGTATATCCCTGCGACGCCTTCACCGCCTTCGACTCTGGTAGATTCAAGGACGGGAGCGAGAAGAAATAGGTTTTGAATCAGATCCGAGAAATTTGGGGACAACGGTGGCAGTGTTACCCTAGACAAAGAAGTTACAAATGGGTCACGGTGGGGTGACTCGGATACTTATTCTCGCGTTGTACATAGCGGCATGTATCGTTAGTCTGGATACTCTCGAGCCTAGTGTTGTCCAAAATAACAATACTTACGAAGGAGTAATTTCCGCGTGATCGTCCTCTCTGAGTCTCGCTCTCTGGCGAGATCATGACGTAGCCGCTGGATCCTGGAACACACTGATCATCTCATTAGCTTCCCCGAATCCCTTCCAACCTTCAAAGTTACCAGGAGACAAGACGTGTGTCACGTATCATCAAGTCACCATCATTCGATACTATGATACGCCACAGGTTCCCGAGGTTGGTGACAAAGATCGGAAGTCACGTTACATGACAGAACACAGTTGCCCAGTGTATGTATGTGGCACCATCGTTAAGTATCTTCACCAAAAACTTTCGTTGCCAACAGCAGGACCCGGCACAACCCGCTAGAAAATTCACTGAGAGCAGCAACCCTACTACCAAAAAAATACTGAAAAAATCTCAGTTGAACTTGAAGTAAATAATTTCCTTAGCAGGTTTTTTTTTTTGCAACAGGGAAAATATATCCTCAATGAAAAGTCTACTCCCTGGCTGGGAGTCGAACCCAGCTTTCGCGCGTGCGCTTGGAAATGCCGTCATGACAGGCGCGTGTACTAACCGATATACTACCAAATCCAGTAACGCTCCGCGTGCGCGTTCGCAATCCCCGACTCTCCGGAAAAAGAATTTTGTTGAAGAGTTCCGGACAATTGAGAGTCCAAGAAAATTTCCAGCCTGGGATCGGGGCAGCCCTGAGACTGGTTTTGAAAATTTGGCTACTCAGAGTTCAAGTTGTAGATGTAAAGTAATCTAGTATGTATATCTATAATTATGAAATTGTTGAGAGTTGAAACATATAAATATGAAGCAAAAGTCTGAAGCAAAGCAGAGTAGCTATAGGATAAATCCGTGGTATTTGCCAAATTTTCTCTGTGGCATTTTGCAACATGTTTGCAACCATCACCACTATCATCGAGCACAGTCCGAGTTTGCATAAGTATGTTGTTTCCTCCAAGTCTTTCTGTGAGATATTGGGGAGCATCTAGCCACACAATTTAGATATAAATGTAGAGGACGTTAGGACCACATAATGGGAGCTGGTTACAAGTATATTTCGCAGTTGGCTGGCCTTGCAACTGCGTGAAGATACTACAAGTTTTCTACCTACTTTTATACTACTAGTTTACTACAAATATAGGTATGACAACATATACTACATGTCGAGGCAATGATAAAAGTATGATGTTATGGTGAGGTAGTACTGTGGCTACTGTGGCTACTGTGATGTCAACTGGAGTAAAAACAATCAAAAGATCGTAGCAATATACATAGCTATCAACTGAGCTAGTAAATCAGTTTATCATAAAATAGAAATTCCAATACTTTCGGTCTCAAACTACTATTAGTATGTCATCACTTATCTCCTATAATCACTGTCCTGCTTTGAAGTGTTTTGTTTGTATAATGGATCTCGTAAGTTACACAACGGTGACCCAGATGAGTTTTTGCTTCTACAATATATTACAAATGTTCAAGAGAAAAGATTAATGGTACTTACAGTTGTGTAGTTCATAAGTCGTTATTGGTATGCATTGCGGCTTAAGCTGGTGGCCTGTGGGTGATGTGACTCGTAAGTCTGTAAAGACTTTAAACAGTATCCGATGTCCAGTTTTTTGTAATGTTAAATTACCTACCATGATTCAACCGAGGACTTATCAGAGCCAACCTCAACTGCAAATTTATTCCATCCAGACCTTGTTCATATTTTCTTGCCTCGGAAGTAAGTATACCGAATCTGTTCAGACTTATGACTCCGTCATGAACAGGTATGTGACCACATATTCACTAGACTAGTGCAAAAATGATTTGAACCTCAGGAGATGATTACTTTCAATCCATAGCACAGATTGTGATGGGAGAGACCGATCTATGATGTTGCAGCCCACAAAAAGAGCTTGTGAGTCTCACTGCTGGGGCCCAAGGATTTTTGATGGGCAAAAATAAGTACCCTAGGAAAAGACTAAGGCTAACTTTCCGGGACATTTTTGATGGCAAAAATATCTGATTTTGGATTGGCAAAGATTTGAAAAAAATGCCTCATCTTTGCGGCATTATACGTTGTAAATAGATAGCATCCTTGTACTCGCAAATAAAATACATTTATTCAAATTCAAAGGGTTTGCATCTTTGAAAGGGAAATATGAAACATCTTGGTTTTATCACACTAAGATGCAGATTTTTGTGGCTCAAAGAGATGAAAGATGTTTCATATTTCCCTTTCAAAGATGCAAACCCTTTGAATTTGAATAAATGTATTTTATTTGCAAGTACAAAGATGCTATCTATTTACAATGTATAATGCTGCAAAGATGCGGCATCCTTGTAAAATCTTTGCCAATCCAAAATTAAATATCTTTGCTGTTAAAAATGTCCCGGAAAGTTAGCCTTAGTTTTTTCCCAGGTTATTTTCGCCCGTCAAAAATCCTTAGGCCCCAGCAGTGTCTGTGACACGAGAACAAGCCGATAAAGAGCATACCGGCAGGCCGTCATTTTGCAACGGGATTTGCCGATAGAACAGACTCCAGATGGCGTGGAAAAAAACTAGCATTTGTCAGCCAATTTTCGGGGCCGTGGGAATGGTTTGTTCCTAGGGGGGGGACAAGGCCCTCCTCTCGGAGAGAGTCGGGGATTTTGCGAGGACATATGGCACTTGAAAAAACTTGATTAATGTACGGACATAAGCCATGAGCCAAGTGTTTCGAGACTGTCTCTGGAATTTTGCGAGCAGCTGTATTGACACACCTTGCGAGCACTAGGGAAAGAGCCGACTACGTCGGCAGAGACCTTGCTCGCGGGAATTACAGACATTGGGTGTGTTTGTTCCTCAAGGCAATGGACACTTTGTACCTGTATACTCAAAACAACGGCACACGTGATTATTGACACAGCAGAGACCTGAGACCTCGTCACCTTGTATCTTCTTCGTTCCATTCTAAATTCGACTCAAGGACCGACCCAAGCCCCATAAACCCACCCATCAACTTCTTAATCCCGATGCACATCCTCGACGAGTCCTCTTTCTTCGCCGTAGGAGCAAATCCAGCATCTTCGCTCGATTCGACTTCGCGTAGGACGAACTCGGGAGAGACGGAAAAGTTTATGGACACCAATCTTCCAGAAATTGAACGCTTGAATCGATTGTTGTTTTGGAGATCCTATCAAGCGGCACAAACTTTCGATCCTTCATCCCCTTCATACGTCCCACAACCTGATCTCCCTCCTCTTACTGCGCAAGAAACAGAGACGCTAACAAAGGCACAAGAAAAAGTCCTTTATCTCTTAGCTGAAAAGAAGATCGACCTAACTAGCTCTTCAACGCCTCCAAGAAAGAGCAGTCGTGCGCCACCCCCAAAGGAGAACGAACAAAATGCCTCGAACCGAGGTTATGAGGCGGCATATACGGAGCAGATTCACAAGTACGTTGCTTTGTCTTTCTAATTTTTCTCAATGTAACATTTTTTTTTCTTTTTTCTTAGGATGGAGGAGGAAAATCGAACCTGGTCCACAGTCAGCGAGTTCTATGAATCCTATATAAAGGAACAGACGGCTAAAAGGAGAGCAATGATTGAGAAATCAAAGAACCCCCCTCCTCGGCCGTCTGCCAAGGCTAAAGGCAAACAAAAGGCCTCTGACAACGACGTTGACGACAGCATGGACAACGATGAAGTTCATATTTTCTTGCCTCGGAAGTAAGTATACCGAATCTGTTCAGACTTATGACTCCGTCATGAACAGGTATGTGACCACATATTCACTAGACTAGTGCAAAAGTGATTTGAACCTCAGGAGATAATTACTTTCAATTCATAGCACAGATTGTGATGGGAGAGATCGATCTATGATGTTGTGCAGCCCATAAAAAGAGCTTGTGAGTCTGTGACACGAGAACGAGCCAATAAAGAGCATACCGGCAGGCCGTCATTTTGCAACGGGATTTGCCGATAGAACAGCTGACTACAGATGGCGTGGAAAAAAACTAACATTTGTCAGCCAATTTTCGGGGTCGTGGGAATGGTTTGTTCCTAGGGGGGGACAAGGCCCTCCTCTCGGAGAGAGTCGGGGATGGAGATGTCATGAGATGTATAATGGGATGGATTCGCGCACGCACTGCCCCGATTACTTTCTTTTGGGTCAAAGGCCACTCGGGCAACAAGCACAACGATGAGGCGGACAGATTGGCAAATGTCGGCTCTTCCATGCCTGTCCCACTTACTCATTCCCATGTTGACTACATGTCCACCCCCTGCCCTCCTCCTTTCTCACCTCACAATTCTTCATGCTTGAAAATTCGCTCGGTATTACCGATGCCTCGAGTGGTCAAACAAACTAAGGACAAACCTCCGAGGCACCCTTTCAATAACCGTGGCCGGTCATTCAAAAGGACTTTGCAGGATGAAACGCTAAAGAAAATTATGGATTCGTCGTCAGATCCGAACGCGTTTTGGCGGTTGTACAAGAGTCTCCGTTATCAGTCGCTCCCTCCTAGTTCTGTCAGTATAGACGACCTGTATTCATGCTTCGTACCAAGGTTAAACCCACCTGACCCCTCGAAAGCACGCTTCAACCAAGCACGGTTGCTGAGGGAGAATAAAAGAGCTGAGAACCGGGGGTTCAGGTCACTCCCCTCAAAGTTCTCATGTCTGAATGAGCAAGTGGAGGTTTCTGATATTGAGCAGGTTAAGGCCTACCTAAAGTCACGTAACCACTCGGACACGACGGGAATAGATGAGAGTACGTACTCGCTGATTATGAATGTTGACAATGAAGTGCTACTCGAACTATACAACGAGTGCTTTGCGACAGGCGACGTACCGACAGCTTGGCTGATGACCCTGCTGTCTGCTTTGCCTAAGACTGGCAAAGACATCACAGATCCAAATAACTATCGCGCTATTGCCCTCGAGAGCTGCTTCTTGAAGTTCGGTACACTCATAGTGCTAACGAAGCTGACCAACGCTGCCGAGGAAGGCAACATTCTTCCTCCTTCACAAAATGGTTTTCGAAGGGAATACCGTACGAACAACAATGCCTTCATTCTCCGGTCGCTCATCGAGAAGTCAAGAGCTCAAAGGGAGACGTTATACGTCGCGTTTGTGGATATTTCCAACGCATTCCCCTCAACAAACCAAAATGCGTTATGGAACCGTCTGGAGGATCTTGGCCTTACGGGGATGTATTACGACTGGCTCCGCTCCGTGTATGGGCGAATGAAATACATTCTCACCCAAAACGGGGATGTCTCGGCAGAGTTTGATGCGGGGTCTGGTGTTCTGATGGGTGACCCTGCCTCACCGATGTTATGGAACCTCTATCTGTCGACGTTTTGTCTGTCATTTGACCCAGATGATGCGGATCTTCTGGGCACACCCATCTCCCATCTTGAACATGCAGACGACATGTTAATCATCTCCCGCTCACCGCAAGGGCTTCAGCGTCACCTTTCAGAGCTGGAGCTTTGGTGTTATGACAACTTCTTATCGCTGAGTCCCTCCAAGTCTGAAGTAATGATGTTCGGACACCTTGGCTCCAGTACACTCCCACGCTTTATTATCAACGATAATGAGCTTCAGGTAGTTGACAAGTTCAAATACGTGGGGGTCACCTTTACATCGACACATCACGACATCTTCTGCGAGTTGTATACAGCAAAGGCACGCACTGCACGCACCTGTGCCCACGGCGTTCTGGGAACCGAACGCGTTGTCGGGCGTGGCCGTCTGCCTGCGAAATGTTGTCAAGAGCTATACACCGCATTGGTAGACTGCCATCTGATCTCAGGCGCGGAGATTGTCCCCGACGTCAGCAAGGATGGCATAGAGCTGCTTGAGAAAGAGCAGGTTATGTTTCTCCGTCGTATGCTCGGACTGTCAAACAAGTCTATCACTACACCTCTGTTCACGGAGACAGGCCTCCGTCCAATCTGAACACGTCGTGTGTTACTTACTTTATCTTATCTCAGGTATCTGATTCAGCTGCCGGTCAGTCACTACGCCTGTATTGCCATGGAATCGTCATTCAGTCTTCGAGAAAATGGTTCTCCCTCATGGGCATCGGACCTTGATTTGGTAATACGCCAGCTTCCTGGTAATGAAGTCCGTCGCCTATTTCTACCACAGCGTACCGATATATGCGCGTTAACTATAGACACCTTGGAGAAACAGATTCGGAGCCTTTCAAGTGAACTTCTCTTGTCAGAGATCAACTCATTTCACCGTCTATCCCTTCTCCGTGGTAGGATAGAACCAACGGATCCAAACAGCGACGAGAAACCATCTTCCCCCGTTCTCAGATTTCGTCACTACCTTCATCGAGTCATTTACCACCGCCATCGTCGTTCTCTGACCCGCCTCGTCGCTGGGAATGTATCGCCCTTCATTTTCCGTTGCTCACCTGGCCGTCGTTATACTGAAGGGGATGACGTGAACTCGAAACTGTGCCGCTTGTGCAAGTCAGCCTACGAGACTCCGGAGCATGTTCTACTCCGCTGTAAAATGGTCCCAGGTATCATGGTAATGCGTAGAGAGTTCTTGTTATCGATTCGCCTTGACCCCGACTTGGACCGCTCGGAGAGCCATATCTTTGAGCTACTTAAGTCGGTGATTTTCTCATGGGACATGGTACCTTTGACGGCAAAATTTGTCCACGAGTGCCTGACTAGCTGGAAGGATATCTGTGCCATTCCTCACATCGATGAGTGCTATGAGGACGAGCGAGAGTAGGTAATTAACTTGGTTATAGCGAGACTATTTTCTATTGTTACTATTTCCGTACTCTCTTTTAGGTCTGAGTCGAACCACTTCATATGTAGTACCAATACTACTCACTATGGTAATGTATCATAGTACCAACACTACAAGTACTTACATTATGTACAACTGTAGTACCTCGCACCTGTTGGGTTGGAAGGTCTACTGCGCGTTTGCCTCCACCGGGCAGGTGTTGCCGGCTGAACCTTAGGTTCCCCGCATGTTGCGGAGCCGAGTAATCTACCTACCTACCTACCTACCAGGGAGTTGTTGTAACGACGTTGAACATAGATACAATAACATACCACGTTTGTAACACCATCATTTTTCAAGAATCTAACTATGTACACAGAGTGAGGATTATAAGTACTTATTTAACTCTTCAATAGATAGCAAAACCGATTTTTTTCCGCAAGTACTAACTGATATACTACCTACCTACCTACCTACCAGGGAACACGTTCTTTCATGAAAATCTAAAAACTTATATGAAAAATCTTGTATGTAAGGTGAACACCAAAAAAGTAGAGATAGATAGTAGATACGATTTTTGCAAGTACAACTCATGTAACCACATAAGTATATACAATTCACCATAATAGTGACAAAAAAACAACACAAGTTTCCAGAATTCCCTTAGTTTTTTCTTTTTTGTGCAACAGGAAAAAGTTTATCTCTCACTGCTATTACTCCCTGGCTGGGAGTCGAACCCAGCTTTCGCGCGTTTGAGACGAGTTTGTACATGACAGGCGCGTGTACTAACCGATATACTACCAGGGAGTTGTTGTTAAAACGTCGAACATAGATACAATACGTACTTAGCACAGTCTATCAGACGCGTTTGCTACACCATCGTTTTTTCAAGGATCTAACTATGTACGCAGAGTGAGGATTAAGTACTTATGTATATAAATAGATAACAGAAACGATTTTTTTCGCAAGTACTGCTTATGTATATAGTTTGTGTAACTACTTTAAACATGAGTTCAAAAAGAAAAAGAGCAACGCGAGTTGTTTCAACGAGTGAGGTGAGTACTTAAGTGAGTGACATTCTTAAAGCAAAAAAAAACGTAATAAAAGAAATAATTAGTCCCAAAAACAGCTCAAGCCATACATATATTTAAAAGTCTAAAAACCAAAATTCCAAGAAAAAAAACAAAAAACAAAAAACAAACAACAACCCCCTCCCCCATCCTCATCCAAACACTCTAACAATGCCTCCACATCTTAACCCAATCCACAACCATAGCCCTCCTATCCATCTCCTCCCCCTGCGGCCAAGTCTGATACCACTCATCCCTCTTATCCGCAAACTCCCTCATCGCAACCTGCGAACCAGCACCGTTCAACCAAAGTTTATCACCCTTGTCCGTCCGGGAACCCATCCGTGAGTACTTACCACCAACAGCAAACGTTATGGCATGATTAAATAAAAAATCTTTGATCGAACGGTGCGTTCCATTTCGGTTTCGTCTCCTTCCCGTCTGGTAAAACTAAAACTCCTTTCCCATTAGAGTTACCAGTCCATCCAGAAGCCACCGACCCATCCCCCATCGTACCCAACCCATCAACAACCCCCCAAGGATCTTTAATCCCTTGTAACTAGTACTGTCCCGTACTAGGATCTCTAAAAGTCGTATTCCCACTCCCCCCCATCCACACCCCAAATCCCAGCTTTCTTGAAGACCCTTTATTCCAAAACCGGTCGCATCGTCAAAACCGATATTCCAACAACGTATGGTAACCCTAGTGTCCACATAGATCCTAACAAAACTCTTTCCGTCCATTCCAGAACGTATTCGTGAAAATCAGCTGCGAACGATCGAGTCGAAGATGATCCTCGAGTTCTAGACCACCAAGAGTAAGACAAGGAGACGGCGTCGATGAACCACGACCCAGAAGAAGGCGAGTATCCGGAGGAGGAGGAGGAGGAGGAAGAAGGTCCCCAATGTAAGGAACCTTGAACGTAGATTCGATCCATGAGCTGTGTAACAGTGTAATGGATATCGTTCCCTCTACTCTCTACCATATCGATTTCACCGGAAGCAGGCCAACCACCGTAGGTGTTGTTAACTGGTAAATAACCATAGAGCGGGTCATAACCAGTCTCCGGTTGTGAAGTCTAGCTCGGATAGAGATTTTGCCCAGAGGAGAGGGAGCTGAGTGGTCGTGAAGAAGAAGAAGAGTTTGGTGATGATGAGGAGGAGGAGTTGAGTTCGGAGAGAGCGTTGAGACGGGTGCTGACTCGAGCACTTTGAACGGGGTTGATGATGGATCCAACGGTTTGGTTGGACGTAGTCAAAGACTTGACGAGAAGGATCCTTGGGGGTCGGGATGAACCCGAAAGTGGTAGCGGTTTCAAGTTGGTTGAAGATGCAGCACAGTGATGTTGTAGATGTAAGGACCGTCTACGAGATAAAAAAAGAGATGTGTGAGTTAGGAGAAAAACAAAAGGTAGAGGGAGAGAGAAAAAGCAAAACACTCACTCATCCCCGGATAGGCTAAACGATTTGGGAGCGCGTCCAAGAGTTACGGGGAGGAGAGTGCTTTTTCATGACAGGAACGGTAGTAAAGTCGTTTCGACAAGTTGGATTGAAGAGAGGAGCGAAAGCGGAGGACGCGCTGTTTGTTGTTGAAAGCAGCACCAGAGGATATACCTGATGTACCGGGCCGAGAGAGAGGCAGAGGGACGCTAGAGCCCATAGGCGTGCCCGTGGAATAAGGCGCGCTCCATCCGCTGTAACTTCCACCACCGTGGTGCAAGTTCAAAGCAGACGCGGAAGGAACGCGCGAGTTGGTGACTGCAAATGCCGTCGCGTTTGCCAGAGTCGTTAACAAGGGCCAGCCCATGCCGTTAACACGTTGACGGCACGTGTTCCTAAAAAGGTTTTATATTCTCACATTCCCCCTATCTAACTTAGCTTCAAATCCATGTATTAAGGTGCCCGACATACATGAGAATGGTTCGTTGAATCGTAGAATGTAGAAATTTAAGTGGTAGAGTTATGATATCAAAACTTAAGAACGCCTTCGAAAAGTCACCTCTGGATACACTGGGCTGTTCGTTACAAAAGGTCTCCATTTCGAAAGATAGGCCTTTTGTTCTTCAAAAGGCATGTCCCTGAGCCGCTTCGGGACCAAAATCTCATATCGTCTGATAATACGGGCTAGGACATTGGCGCCTTCAACTGCTGCAAATTTCCGTCCGATGCAGTCGCGAAAACCTGTAGAGAAGGCCAGGACTTGAGACCACGTTAGCATACGCATGTATTGGACAGAGAATTGCTTACAAGCATCTCGTGGCCAGCGATAAGTATCAGTATCGACGAACCGCTCGGGCTTGAACTCGTCTGCGTCTGCTCCCCAGTATATGGCTTTATTGACTGTCTGTGAGTAACGAACCAAGCACTTGCAGTAGAGAAGCCCAGACGTACGATTTCTATGAACTGCTGCCATGTCAATCATTATTTCGCTTCCTTCTTTCATTGGTACACTATAAGGCTCAGGATCACCGATTCCGTTTAATCGATATGTTCTGAGGACTGTATCTTTCAGGACCATACGCCCTAACCGAGAGACAATAGGTATCAGTCTTAGTGCTTCGTAGAACGCTGCCGTTGTATAAGTCTATGAAGATCATGAGGATCAGTGGATCACAGCTAACACGGTGCAATAGTAAAGTGGTTCACTTACAAGCCTTGAGAAAGCATTCTTGTATTCCTGGTCCACCTTTCAGATTTCATGCCACGAACAGTTCGAATCAGGTTACTTACCGCTTCTGCAACATCTTCGGGAACACCGTTAGGCCAAATCAGCTCGATTTCATCTAGGATTTTCCGCTGAACATCGGGATAAAGTGCCAGAAAAGCACAGACAAAAGACAAAGCGTTCGCAGTTGTTTCTACAACGCCAGATAAGTAACCCTTCCAAAGAAAAAAAAAAACTGGAAATTTTACCGTGACCAGCAATAAAAAAGAGCTGTGAGAGAGAGGCTGTCAGTCAAAATCTTTCTTTTTTTATTTGAAAAAATTAAAAAGACGCACAAACATATTTGATACAAGCTCTCTGTCAGTCAATGAACGTTGACCACGTTCTTTCTCATCTTGTTCTCCATCGACATCCATATTAGCTTTGACCAAGTTCCGGAGTAAAGCTCCACCAGTCGTCGAATTCGACTTTTCCAACAACACATCAGCACGGACTTCAGAAACGGCTTTCATACACATCTGATCGAGAGCTTCGTAAACTCCAATTGTCTTCCTCAAGTAAGGCGACAGGAAGGGAATATGGATTCTATTCGTCAGGTCGAAAACCCAATCTGGAAGGGAAGTTCTGGCTGCGCTATGATGAAATGCCATTCTCAATGTCTCGCGAAGTTCGGTTATGGGAGTAGCACCGTCGCTCCCGAAGCCAGCACATGCAAAGATGGTGAGAGCCAGCTAACAAAAAACAATATGTCAACTCGCGAGATTATGCATAAGGACACAGGAAAGAATGCAAGCCTAGGGCTGGCCTAACACACACCGTTGAGAAGGAGTCGAATGTATGGATAGAAATTTCGCCGTCGCTGTTGTTGGTTCGAGAGTCCAATTCGCTAAACCAGTTCTTGACTGCCTTTGCCGTTTCTTTCCATACAACCCCGTTCACGGACTGGATGCCTTGTTAAATGGAATGACCAAACCCCACCAAGTTAAGATCATACCTCATTGAATGCCGGGTTTGATATCATTCGGTGGCGCTTCCAAGTACTTGTATCACTCGCAATGATGTTAGGACCAAAGAATAACATTCCGTTGCTGTACTGTAAGCAGAATAAAGATGATGGGTTTAGAACGTTGCCCAGTAAAACAAAAAGGTATAAGTATATCTCTCACAAAGTCCATGTCCTTGTCAAAAGTAGCTTTGTCAGTGGCCACAACCTTTATAGCCTGTGCATCTGCAAGCCAGAACACGGGCCTCGATTTGGAAGCTAGCACAGAGCTAATGCATCCACTTCCATAATGATCGTACACTATTGCAATGCCACTTTAAGTCTCGACCCAAAAAATTAGCTGCAGAGAGCCTTGAAGATGACTTACTAGAAAAGACATCGAAATAGTGACCTATCCAACCTTTCAGCGGGTAAACGGTTGCGAAGATATGTCCAAACGGGTGAAAGGGATGGGTCCATAGAAGACTTCGTCCAGGGCAAGAACTGGATACAAAGTTCAGGTCAAGACGGTCGTGACTCGTGAGAGATTACCGAATACTAACCCTAGGTCTTTGAATGCATCCGCGATCTCCTTCGCTTTCTTGATTGCAAGGAGAAGAACGAGACTTAAAAGTGCGCATGCGAGAGCCTGTGAAAAAGAGTAGGTTTCAAACATAATAACTTATAGTTATCGATGCGATAAAACTACTGACCAGCCTCCTTCTGCTTTTTTATACGCTTTCAGGGAACAACCTCGATTCTGTTAGAGTGAAAGACGTAAACTTGGCAGCTTGTGACTGTCGCGCATGACAGAGGTTTAAGTAGAAACGCCGCCAATGGATCGGAAACTTTGACGGCCGTGGAAGTCTAGTCTGTTGATAAGGTCGCATGTGTGATTTCAGCCTGAAGTAGCCTGAAGTAGTACTGCTAAAGGAGGGTTTGGTCACGTGATTGTCATGAGCTGTTGACAGATGGTACAGATACTAATATAGGGTTGAGTGAAAAACTCCCTCCGAGTTTGTGACCAGGTAATTTACAGAGCAGCTGCCCCTCAGAAGTTTTTGACCAGTAATTTACAGTAAATAACCTC